GGGTGCATTGCTGGCTCATGTTTCCCCCGGGGTGCATCAGAACCATCAGCTCTTTTTCTGCCTCCTGGCCTTCCAGTCAATCAGCACTCTTGCTGTACTGGTCTGTGGAGCTATTCCTGCACAGCTGCAGGACTCAGCACAGCCCTTTGTTCAGCTCCAAGGAATGCCCATCAGTTCATTTTTTTTCTTTTTAAGTCTGTTCATGTTTCTTCGAACAGCAGCACAGCCCTTTGACATACTATCAGCTCTTACCAGTTCAGTATTGTCTGCAGACTTGCTGAGTGTGTGTTCAGTCCCACTGGCTAGACCACTGATGACGTTCAACAGAACTGGCTCCAGTACTGTCACCTGGAGTATAAGGCCACTGACTGCTCTTTTTTCCAGTTAGACTAGCTGTTCTGAAGAGACTGTTTCTATTTCTGAGTGGTCATATCAGAAAAGTCTGTGATTTTTGTGGGTCCTTTCCAACCCAGCATATTCAATGACTCTATACAAGTAACCAAGAAATTACACATTGATGACTCATACTTTCATCAGGACAACGTGTGATGCCCCTCCATCAAAACGTTTGTTGGCTCCAATTCAGAGAAATGGCACAACCATCTACTTACTTCCCTCAAATACTGTACTGTATATTTAAGTGAAAAGCAAGCACCAGCAGCCCAACAACAGACTACTTCTTCCAGGTATGATACAGATTTCTTTTTAATTCATTTTACTTCACTGGGAAATATACTAAATAAAAGAACAAAAACTGAATTATCAAGATGGTAGTACTGACAAGTGAAGAAGATTTATTTTGTTGTGCTGGTAAGTTCAAAAAAGCATTAAAAAAATTCAAAATAACAAACCTGCTGGAGCTACGTGATCTTCTTGAAGAGCTATAGCTTCTTGGGGGAGTTCTGGATCTCTTATCTTTCTTCTTTTTATCATCTCTCTCTTTTTCTCGCTCCCTCTCCTTATCCCCATCTTTTTCCTTTTCTTTTTCTCTGTCTTTCTCTTTGTCCCCTCCTTTGTCCTTATCTCCCTCCCTATCCTTCATCTTCTCTCTATCTTTCTCCCCATCTTTGTCATCATCTCTTTCCTTGTTCTGATCTACATCTTCCCTGTCTTTTTCCTTCTCATCTTTCTCCTTTTCCCTTTCCTTGTCCCTGTCTCTATCCCTATCTTTGACTCTCTCTCGATCTTTGTTTCGATCTTTGTCTTTATCTCTGTCCTTATCCCTGTTTCTCTCTTTATCTCTCTCTCTTTCCCTTTCTTTGTCTCTATCCCGGTCTCTTTCCTTCTCCTTGTCTCGGTCTCTCTCCTTTTCTTTGGTCTTTTCTTTTTCCTTGACCTTTTCTTTGTCTCTTTTCTTGTCCCTGTGAAAAGCCAAACACAAATCCATTAACTCATCTTAGAATTTCCTAATAAAAACTACAACTAAGTCTTCAGCATACAGCAAATGCTCAAGAGAAACTATGTCTGTTGAAAAATAACTAATATGCAAAATTCTACTTTTCCACTCAAGTTTATCACGAGGGGAAAACTACATAGCTAGGAGATGTCTGGAAATTAGAAATCAAATTCATTTATACTGAGCAATGGTACTAAAGTTTCTTTACCTCATAATTCTTATCACACATAGACAGATATTCTACATTTTCTCAGGACTGAGACAAACACTACCATTTCTAAATCCATTTCTTGCTAAAATTGGATCCATAGCAGGGAGTGGAAATTAACCAGCCCCATATGAATATTGACAAAAACCTTAATTCTACAGTGCTCTCTCACATCAACATCCTGGAAATGCTTGCAAGTCCAACACCAGTAAATACAGAGAAACCAAAACCAGGGGTTAAATTTCACTGATTAAATTCCCTCAAAAGGCAAATGTAAGGTCAAAACTCAAGACAATTCAATCATCTGTAATGTAATCAGGAATTTGAAAACTATCTAACTGTAAGAAAATTTATATGACAGTAAAAATACAAGCGAGGGTAACAGATCAAGTCAACTTCTATAGAACAAGCAGAATTACACCTGTTCATAAAAAGAAAAAATTGTGAGAAAAACTTATGCGTGTGTTCTAGTAACTAAGTCAAATAAAAAAAACTGGTTAAATTATGGCTTTGACTAGAATACTACGCTACCTTTTGGCAGAGGATTATTTGGAAGCGCAAGACTCCCAACCATCTCATCTAGTGGACATGCACATGAGCTGCCTCAAGGACATACGAAAATCAATAGTTGTTTAGACAAACAGGACAAAGCACATTATAAGAAGTTGATCAATAGCCCTTTTCACAACCACAGGAACCAGACTGAATTGCTGTTTTTTTTGGTATTGGCATCTAGCCCAGGATTTTGAAAGATTCCCAAAGAGACCCATTCAGACTGGAAAGACCGTAAGCATAGTCCTCACCTTTCTTCATTCCATCAAGACTCTAGACATGTATTTCCTCAACTCCTAATGCACAGCAGATTGTTTTATGTTCCGTACCTATCAGGTTCTGGCAAACACTTTTTTACATATCTCACAGAAACAATCTAAGTCCATAAAGACGAGACTGTGTGCTATTCCCACAATAGCAAGGGATCTCACAATGCCACCAGAAGCACCTTCCAGTTAGTTATTATACAGATTTAACTGGACTTGCTCCTTACAGTCAGTAGATATCGATATCTTAAAAAACTCTGTCAGACAAGTGCAAGAGAGAATCTAAAACATTTTGTCAGCTATCAACAAAACCTAACTATATAAAGTATTCCTAACTGTTCCCACCAAGGTCCAAAGATTCACAGTTCTCTTTTCCACAAAACTTCTCCTCTTAGTAAAAAAAAATGAGTTAATGCCCTTAAATGAGTTGGGGCATTAAAGAGATGAAAGAAGATGAAAATTACCAAGTATTCTACTATGAAGCTACTTCCACATGCACTTCATAAATACTGTTTTGGAATTTCATAGGAAATCAGTGAATTTCCCAGTGACTGAAAAATGGGAAATATAACCCCCATTTTTAAAAACAGAAAAAAAAGAGAAAAAAAGAACTACAATGCTCTGCCTGGCAAGATTGTGAAGCAGATCCCCCTGGAAATCATACTAAAGCATATGGCAGAGACTATAGGGCATAGACAGCACAGCTTCACTAAGAGTAAATCACGCCCAATAAATTTGGTGTCCTTTTATAATGGAATTACAGCATTGTTGGAAGAGGGTAGAGAACTGATGTAATCAACCCTGACTTGTGCGAAGTACTTTATACTTTCCTGCATGACATTCTTCTCTCTAAAATGGAGAGACATGTATTTGACAGACCACTCAGTAGTTAAGGAATTGGCTATACAGTCACATTCAGAGGGCTGCAGTCAATGGCTTGGGGTCGAAGTAGAGAGCAGTGATGTCTGGCATTCCTCCGGAGTCAGTGTCAGGATCAATACTGTTTAACACCTTTGTCAGTGACATGGACAGTGGGACTGAATGCAACCTGAAAGGCTTGAAGAGTAGGTCTCCGTGAATCTCATGAAGTTCAACAAGGCCAAGTGCAAGGTCCTGCATCTGGATTAGGACTATCCCAAACATGAATACAGGCTGGGTGGGTGCCCTGACAGACAAGTCCCGCAGAGAAGTACTGAGGGGCAGTCACGGACGAAAAACTGACATGGGTTGGCAATGTACTCTTGAAGCCCAAAAAGCCAATCATATTCTGAGCTACATCGGAAGTATGCCAGCAGCTGATTTTCCCATTCTGCTCTGCTCTTGAGACCCCACCTGGAATACTGCATTCCTGTGGAGGCTTCACCATACAAAAGACATGGAGCTGTTAAGAGTGGCTCCAGAAGAAAGTCTGCAAAACTCATCAGAGGGTTAGAGCATCTCTCTATGAAGACAGACTGAGTGAGCTGGGGTTGTTCAGCCTATAGAAAAGAAGGCTCTGGAGAAACCTTAGAGCAACCTTCCGATACTTAAAGAAGGTCCACAAGAAAGACGGGGAGAGATTCTTCATCAGGGAATGTTGTGACAGGACAAGGGCTAATGCTCTTAAACTAAAAGAGGGTAAATTTAGATTAGATATACCTTCTTTATTCAGAGGGTGCTAAGGCAGGGGAATAGGTTGCCCAGAGAAGATGTGGATGCAAATAGTGGAGGTCACAAGCACAGTCCCTCAGGGGTCAGTCCTGGGGCTGGTGCTCTTCAACATCTTCATCTGTGATAGATGATGGCACCCTAAGTGAGTTTGGATGACACCAAGCTGAGTGATGCAGTCAATACGCTGGGAGGAAGGGAAGCCATCCAGAGGGACCTGGACAGACTGGAGAAGTGGGCCCATGAAAACCTAATGACGGCCAAGTGCAGAAAAACTAGGGGAAGAACCCCTTGAGAGCAGCCCTGTGGAGAAGGACGTGGGGGTCCTGGTGGACAAGAAGCTGGACACGAGCCAGCAGTGTGCGCCTGCAGCCTGGAAGGCCAACTGTGTTCTGGGCTGCATTAAAAAAGGGGTGGCCAGCAGAGAGAGGGAGGTGATTGTCCCCCTCTACTTGGCTCTTGTGAGGCCCCATCTGGAATATTGCGTCCAGGCCTGGGGTCCCCAGTACAGGAAGGATGTGGAGCTCTTGGAGCGGGTCCAGAGGAGGGCCACACTAAGATGATCAGAGGGCTGGAGCACCTCTCCTATGAGGAAAGACTGAGGGAACCAGGCTTGTTTAGCTTGGAGAAGAAAATGCTCTGGAGAGACCTCATTGTGGCCTTCCAGAACTTGAAGGGAGTGTGTAACAGGAGGGGGAATAGCTGCTTACAAAGGTGGATAGTGATAGGACAAGGGTGAATGGTTTTAAACTGGGACAAGGGAGGTTTAGGTTAGATATTTGGAGGAAGTTTTTCACTCAGAGGGTGTTAACACACTGGAACAGGTTGCCCAGGGAGGCTGTGGATGCCCCATCTCTGGAAGCATTGAAGGCCAGGTTGGATGTGGCTCTGGGCAGCCTGGGCTGATGGTTGGTAACCTTGCACGTGGCAGGGGGCTGGAACGAGATGATCACTGTGGTCCTTTTCAACCCAGGCCATTCTATGATTCTATGAGCCATCTCTGGGAGTGTTCAAGGTCAGGCTGTACAGGGCTTTGGGCAACCTCATCTACTGGAAGGTGTCCTTTCCCAAGGCAGCGGGGTTGGAACTATATTATTTTTAAAGGTCCTTTCCAACACAAGCCATTTTATAATTTTACATAGGTACAAACATGGAAACAAGACTTCCGTACAGAAGTTTAGGTAATTCAATATAAAAATCTATGTTCTGTTCTTCTGCCTCGCAGACAAAGCCTAGGGACAGGATAAAGCATTTACACTCCATGCTTTACCATTGCCTAAAACATTTATTAGATTTTTTCAAAAACCTCATACTATTAGCTAAGAACACTATCATTTCTTAGGAATGGAAACTCACCGAGAACGAGACCGACTTCTTGATTTTCTCCTTTCCCTAGATCTAGATCGTTTTTTCAGGGGACTTCTGGATCTGCGCCTGTCCTTGTGTCTTGAGAGCGATCTGTTGCCAGACCGACTTCTATATGAACAAGATCAAAAAGAATACTTTAATATTGAAACTTCATAAAAATTAGATCAATCGAAACAGGAGAAAAGATATAAAAATCTGGCCTCACTAAGAAAAATTACATAGGGTGGCATTTCAGTAATTCCGTGCCTAACACTTTTACAAATAAGCTTACTTAAAATTTAAACTGGTGCAACTGCTCTCTTTTGAGATTCATCATTTAAGTATTACATTTTATGAGTATTCTGGAAAAATCATAGTGGGATAACTTTTCTTAGAAAACTGAAGTATATACGATCTAAGAACAGCTTGTAAAAACAGTTTTTTTCTTCCTCATTTATTGCAGTTTTGGTCACTTGGTTGGTTCTCCAAATAAAAAACAAAACCTATCATCTGTGGTTCAGAATTTAGAAAAGTTATCACCTCAGATGGGAGGATTTGTGAGCATAGATTTAACAACTGTCAAGATACAGAATGCAAATTTACTTCATGATGAAAAATGATGAAAAAAAGGAATGAAAATAATGTGCAGAAGCTCCAACAGAAATCCAACTGAAGTCTTCTGACAAAAAATATTTAGATCACTCCAAAAGTAATGCCTCCTATTTATTCCACATAAACTATAACCAACACAAAGAGCACAATAACACTACTGGGTACAGCAAATTCTCAGTTACATAATACTGCTTTTCAACACAGTCAATACCATTAGCTATGCATTCTTAAGAGCGATGAACAAAAGCTTCCATCCTGCAATCCTCAAAATCTGCAAGGCTGTCTGAACTGTCTTTCACATCTCTGTCAGCCCTGCTGAAATATACTACCTAAGACCTCACTGTACTCACATCCACTGTTTGGTCTCCATAAACATTCAGCAAGCACCAATTTTTTCCTGCATGGAGAAATTCAATGACAAAGCTTTGCTTTGTACACATTTCTTTATCAGACACCATTTTGTCAGACTGTCCCCCTACTGCATCTGTCACATGGCAACAAAACGCAATGGGATATTGGTGGGAAGCTCCAACCTCTACTGACATACCACCAACATTCAGCTTAGATGTTGCAGGCCAACATAATAGAATAAGAGTCATTACTTTTGGAGCAGTCCTGATGTACAGTATAGTCTCAGATTTGATAATGAAAACAGCACTTCTAAAAATTACTATACTCTGTTTTCCCCAGTATTCACCATTTTTGGAAGATCGTACTCCTAGGAAAATTAAAATAAAAAGGTGAATTTAAATATTACATTACATTACAAACAACACATTAGTTGAATACTTTGCCTGAAAGGTTCATGTACAACAAAGTTCAACTTACCAAAGACAGAAAAGCCATGTATATTACTCAATAAATCCTGAAGAACAGGAAGACAGAAAAAAATAACAGTTCTACCTGTCTTCTGCAGCTCAAGACATATAGAATAAGGATATACCAAGAGGAAAGGAAAGGCAACCCTTTTTTAGCTACTGCTTTGCTCCACACATCAGTGTAGTGTAGAAACTAACTTCACAGCAAATTAATTACAACTTCGCCAAAATAAGCTCCTAAATAAAATTTGTACCATAAAGATGAAAGAGATATATGGAGATTATTAAAAGCTGAAACAGGACAATGGTAAGGATATTTTATTCTTAGGGATGCATTTGCTTTAGTAGATCAGTCTGGCTCTTTTTGCAGCATGTAATTAAAATTGTTGGTAACAGACGCAAATTATATTTTTAAAAAGTGGTATCAACAGATATTTGAAAGCACAGATTTCTTAAAGTGAGGAATGCAAATTTATTTTCTAAAACAATTTAATTTGTGTTGTTACAAAACAGTGCAGACATTGCTGGAATGTTACACTAACACAGCTTTTCAGTCATATCCCATATACAGAAACAGCAGAGCAACAGAAACAGCATGCAATAAGGAAATGACCAAATGACTATTCTTGCATTAAAAAGCTGCCCAATGGTCTGTTGTCAACAGATAATGTAGTGTTTTGTCCCTCTATTATAAAACCAAAACCTGCACTTAGACCATATTTCACTGGGAGTACAACACATGTAGTGTGCAGTTCTACTCAAGCTTTTCTTTATATATTGTGTTCTCCCATTAGAACACAATGTGAGAAAAGATGCAACAAAGTTGTTTCTGCAACACGGACAACTTACCTTTCTAAAGTGTAAACTATCTAATAAATTTTGAGTGTCTTTTTTTGACACCAAACATATCCAAATACCTTTAGATTGATTACATAAATGCTCAGAAGTCACTGAAAAAATACAAACCATTTTCAGGACATATCTGTAAGCATCACATATCAATACTGCCTCATTCACAGGAAATAAATTTATGGACTAATTTTAACAGTGATCTAGTTGCTTCATTTCCTCCTACACTCCAAAGTCTGTTTCAGAAGTTAATAAATTTAGCAAAGCAAACGAACTGAAGAAAGCAAAACTGTCCCTTGAGCCTTTTTCTCTTGGTTTCTAAAAAATTTAACCACATTTACGTTACAGTAAACAGAAATACTGGTTCTATTAATTCCGTGTTTGGAAGTTCAAGACAGCAAGGGAGCTGTGTACTAGCAAAACCAGTCAACTTATCAGTTTAGAGTGTTAACAGTAAAAAATGTTCTGGCCATATAATGCAAAATAACTGTTAGTTTTTAAAACATTGAGGTCATAGAATGAAATATGCTACATACCATTAATGTGTCTATATAAAGCATCTAGTGTGTTTTTACTGAACGTAATCTTGAAAACACTAGAGCAAAAGAGTATCTGTTCAGAGACAAAGATTCCAGTTATTCTGATCTGACCAATATAAGCTATTCATGTATTCCATAGCAATACTTACTTAAAAAATAATTTCAGTACTGAAGAAAAACAGTATGATCTCTTATTATGAAAGAAAAAAAAAAAACCTACCTGTGTTTTGAATGTGATCTTTTCCTTCTAGATCGGGATTTTGAGCTAGACCTGGATTCTGAACGAGAATGGGAACGAGATCGACCGCCTTTTCTTTCACTGCTCTTTCCAGACTCTGAGAGGAAAAAACCACTTTGCAGTGTAAGCTCAGAACATTTAAAGATCCCAGTTAACAATCTGGCACAAGTGGAATGTACCACATATAGTACAAGGGGCCTACTCTTTGCACATCTTCCTTCTTTGCAAATAGCCTTCAGAAACATCCAAGAAAGTCATTGCATATACTCGTTGAGTGCAGCCATCCTGCAGCAGTACACATAAACCAGATAATTATAAACAGCTAGCACTATTAGGAAAGGGATTTATGTTGCTGCCACAATGCACAAGATTACAACATGTTTGCCTCTTGGTATATTATTTATGTAACTATTCAGAAAAAAAAGATAATAACCTGAGAAGAATAGAGTAAATTAGAATACAGGGCATAATTTTGAAAACAAGCATAAAATATAAATTATAATACTTCTGGTCTATCATACATTTACACCACTGTATAAATATTCAAATTATAAACAAGGAGAGGAAAGGATGGAGAGAAAAGGTTGAAAAGTTTGATCCAAAGGCCAGGAAGCCACCAGTGACCTCAGCAGACCTTGGTTTGGACTCTTTTTAAAAGATTATTGTTCTGCCGCTTCACACTGAGGAAATGTTAGAGCTATTTTTATTCCAATGCCAAAAATGAGAAAAAACTCAACTCTCTCCAAAAACTCAAGACTCCCCATAATCACTGAAGTCTGAGTTTGTTAATAAAATGACAAAATCTCACTGATCTAGAGAAGAAGGATGATCTCAAGAAGGTCAACAAAATCAGATTGTTTTATACTGTGATTTAGAAATCAGAACAAGTCTGCAAAAATCAACACTGAATAGCACCATCTAGCCTCTCAACCCATGAGAGGTCTTCCTCCTAGACCAGCCATTTCAGTGTTAACAGGGACCAGGCAACCAATATGGATGAAAAAGAGTCCATAACAACACACTGTTTTATCCCAAATTCATTTTCTGATCCTATTTGCTTTATAGATGCTCAGTCTTGAGCCACCATGACAAACAACACAGCAACAAAGACAAAAGTAATCTGCTATAGATTAAGAAAGCATAATATGGGTGTTTCGGCCTGAATGCTAGCTCTGATCATGAAACCATGGCACTAATATGTGCTAAAGAATGAAACAAAGCATAAAGCAATTTCATGGTAAATGTTTCTATGTACTTTCAACTTAAAGAAGCATCAACATTCAATGCATTTGCATTATCCTCCTGTTTTTGAAAATGCTCAATAAGCATGTATGTGAAGACAATACTTTTCAAAATAAAATAGCCAACTTCCACTGCTCTGTTACATGAAGGCAATTGTGATTTTTTTCATTTCTTCCTACACACGTTATTCAGCTACAAGTAACCTTTTCCTGAGTCTGAAAGTGCTCTTAATAGCATGTACCAAGGTGTACAAAGAACATGTCTGTCAGGTACTAAATGTAATATACCCACCTGGCTCAATAGCAGCAGATATGAAAGACTGAGCTTCCCTTACTCTCTTCATCACTTCTTCCAGCTCCTTAGCAGCAGCCTGCGGTGTCATTTCAGGAGGCTTCACTATTGCATTATTGGAGTGATTTATTCTAAATTAAGGAAAAATAAAACATTTATTTCACAAATACTTGAAAAAGAAAATGAAAAATAAGAAAGGAAAGCACCTCCAATTCCATGTCTGACTAAAAATGTTGAAGTTAGTAAACTACATATTTTTCATAATGCTCATCTGCTGCCTAAATACCTGAAATGTGTGCCTTTTATTCCTTTCAAATATTTTAAATAAATGAGGTACAGCATTTCTGTGCCATTCTGAATAAATAAAGGTTCAAGTCTAGGAATCTACCTTTCTATTTTAGATTAAATTTTAAACTTAACACTCATTACAGAGTCATCCATATATGATGACTCTGATCAGCTGATCAGTTGTTGTGGTTTAGAAAGAGTCAAAGAACACAGCTGAAGTAAAATATATAATGAAAAGCTTTATCAGCACCAACAACCTTGCAGATTCTCTTCTTGTTAAAGCATTCACTACCTCAAGATTAAATTAAACATATTTTACTCTCTGCTAATCACATTCTTCTTAGAGGAAGTTATATCCAATTTTGAAATTGGAGTTTATAAAACTGTTCTAGCTTGCAACAATAGATCCTTATATTGATAACATATGCATTACTGTATTTTCCTGCAGATCAGAGTCATAACTATATAAGAATACTGAGAAATCTCTCATTCAATAAGCATATGGATAATTAATTTCTTACTTTAGCGGCCTGTCTCCAAACATAACTCCATTAAAGGCAAGAGCTCGAGGTACAGAATTTTGGTCTGCAAATTCCACAAAAGCAAATCGTGTTGGTTGAGTCTCATCACCTGCCATTCGCACAAATTTGACTTCTCCAACTTGTTTAAAGAATTCAAGCAGCTGATCAGCTGTTGTGGTCTAGAAAGAGTCAAAGAGCACAGCTGAAGTAAAACATATAATGAAAAGTGATTATACAACGTATTAGGTAATAAAAAAAAATCTCTGCGTTTTGGTAAAACATCTTCCCGTGGTTTCACAGGTGACACAAATTTGGGTATTTTACATTTTTTTCTTTTTAAGATAGACTTTTTTTTTCCTTTAATCTAAAGAAAATACTACAAGTTAAAATACTGCAACCAAAAGACCTATATTTAGGCTATAAATAAACCTGCACAGGATTCTCTCTGATATAGAATTTACTTATACACCTATGTCCAAGCTATTTCTGCTACTACGACTTTTAATCAATTAAAAAAAAAACAACAATATCATGACACTTAGTTTTTATCTGTTTTTCTTCCAGCTTACAACTCATTTGATTTTACTGCAATCAACTGAACTTTTAGACTCTAATAGCTACTTCAAATAAAATCCCCAAACAAATACTACTACTACCATTCATCAAAGCAATTGCTTTTTGATCAATATCTACTGAAAATAAATATTTCAGACACCGAGCTTTTGTATCACAGAAATGTGAAGATTCTCAGGCTGATTTTGCAAGTTCCACTGGGAGAAATCATTAACCTTCTACTGTAGCTCAGATGAATACCTTTTTACTGTACTTAAGATCTGCACAGCCTTATGTTGAAGGACAGCTATTATGATCTCACGTCTTCTAGGGTATTATTCAGCTAATACAACACAGTTGATCAACACGTACAATCTTATGTATGGATCCTCAATTCTGCTGCACTGTGATTTTTCCAGTACCCTGCTAGAGTGACTTCCACAATCTGGTCTGACCTGGTTGGTGCAGGAGCACTCAAAATTAGAAATATCACTTGTAACCAAAACCAGCATAATTGGTTTCTTTGTTTAAACTGACATCATCTAACAAGAGCTCCTGTGATTATAGTTCACAAATAACAATTCTTATCTTCCATTAGTATTTTTCCCATACCAGGAAAAAAAAAAAAAGCTACCTGTGAATTCAAATTTCCAACATATACTGTTCTCCTGATTTCATCAATTTTGGATGGGTCCACATTCCCCATTATTGGTGGCTGGGGTATTTCTCCCAGTGCAGTAATGTTAGGGTCCAATGCTGCTGCTGGTATTGCTCCCAAAGTGCCAAGTGATACACCAAGCTGGAAGAGACAGAGAGAATATGGCACAGTCCTTTATTTCCAAAACACTATTTGCCCTTAAGCAAAACAATAAAAATATATCTGCAGCCTTCTGGGAATGGCTTCATTTTCCCTGCTATATGCACAACATTTTTTTTTTTCATGTTATAAAATAATCATCGCTATGACAGTAAGAGGCAGTGTAAATAGCTTTTCCTCACTTACGGAGTGACCCATAAAATAGGCCGAAAAGAATAAGAAAAACTTTTAATATATATTTCTATTTTATTTTTATATGTTTTAAATATCAAACATACTTTACAAAAGTTTTAACATGAGTTAAATACTTTCCTTTTCAAATGTATCAGCTGACAATGTTATGCCACAGAGTAGAAAGAAGCACAAATCAGCACGAATGATCTAATTTACGAAGTCTTCTGTATCATGAGCTGTTTCACAGAACTAACTATATTGTACTAGCATATAAAAACAATTTCAAGACTCAGTAAGCGCCATTTACCACAGCTTGCTACTGTCTAGAACACAAAATTTAAATAGAAATGGAATACTGATTAGTAATACCCTCACTTTTAAAAAAACATCTCTTCAAAGCAGCTAGTCTAGCTGTAAAAAACAATCAGTGGTGTTCTATGTTCCCGTTGACCATCCTGAACGATTTTTTGAACTTCAGCGGTGGCCTATCTGGTGGGACTGCACACACTGTCAGCAAGTCCGCAGACAATACAGAACTAGGAAGCCGTGTCAGTACACCAAAGGGCTATGCACATGGGCAGGAATAGCTCCACAGACCAGTACAGCAAGAGTGCTGATTGACTGGAAGGCCAAGAGGCAGAAAAAGAGCTGATGGTTCTGGTGCACCCCGGGGGAAACATGAGCCAGCAATGCACCCTTGCAAGGTCAAGAAGTCAAGAAGGACAGCAGTATGCTGAGCTGCTCTTTCTAGAGAAGAGTGTTGTGAGCAGACAAGGAAGGTGACTCTTTGCCTTTCCTCAGTGCTGGTGGTGCCAGATCTGGAATCCAATCCGGTGTCCAGTTCTGGGCCTTCCAAGTACAAGAGAGAAACAGACCTAACTGGAATACATCCACTGAAGAGCCACAAAGCTGATGAAGTGTCTTGGAGCACCAGTCTTACAAGGAGAGTCTGGGAGAGCGGGGTTTCTTTATTCTGGAGAGGAGAAGGCTGAGGAATGTTCTAAGAAGTTTCTAGTGGGAGAGTGTAAACGAAGAGTCTAAGAAGAGTGGAGCCAGATTCTTCCTGGTAGCCAGTGAAGGAGGTACAGAAAATGGAAAAGCAGTGTTCACCTTGTTTACATGATTAATTCTGAAGTATTACATCTGTAATCCTGAGTTCACTCAAGAAATTTACAGATGATCCAAATGCAGTGCACGATTTATAGCTTTAGCTAAGTAAACTATCTCTTTGCCTTAAAAGTCTTATACTGCCAAGCAGGAACACCTTCAAACTAGAAGGATTACCAGTGGTAAGCAAGAACTCTCTAGAGAAACGTGCTCTCAGCACACAAAATAACTGTAATCGAGAGCAGTATTTTATAAGTTTCTCTCCTGTAATTACAACAAAAGCTAATTTCCCTGGCAGAAATGCTGGTGCTGAGTTTTTACATAAAACACTATACCTTACACTCTAAACTTTACTCATAGGTAATGTATAAACATGCTACGTAGGTAATGCAGAAACACAGTAATGCATAAGCAGAACAAACATGAAAGAAGTATTTCAAAGTTTAAGATAACTGATACTGCTACCTGCTGTTATCCTTCCAGTCTTCCAATGACAGCTTCGTCATCAGTTTAAACTTACCCAGTTTCCCTTAGACAAGGAAAGGGGCAATCCTGATTTTTTTTTTTTAACTACAGACTTGTTAAAATTTGTAAACCAGAAAGACAAATAGAGCTGTTCTGAAAAAACAATTGTATTCTACACCCCTCACCAACCTGAAAAAAAGCCATGTCAGATCAGACTTCTTCAGGTAATAGACCATATGAACACTAGCATAATATAAAAGAGTGGAAATGCAATGCCAGTAGTACCTCTTTGGGCTGCAGCATAGATTTAGACAAGCTTCAGGCAAAATAGGCAACTCAAAACTGTAGTTAACTGAATGAATGAGCCCCTCAAACAGCTGGCTGGAGAAAAAAGCAAAGGAACAAGACCTGAGGCTTTTCCCTCGGAATCCCAATCCAAAGCAGCAGTGTTTCACACACTTTGGTAAGCTCAGTACAGTGTGTCAGGCTGATATGGGTCAAACAAACTTACTATGTTACTATGTATGAGGCCACCCTCATTCCTTCAGTGAATTTGTCATGCTTCACAAGAGGTACAATAGGTGCCAGAAAGACAAAGAATGACACAGATAAAGCGGAATGTACAGTCAAAAGCAAGAAGATTAGTATCAGATTACTAGTTCAGAGGCTGTAAGTTGTCAGATGAGCTATCTTTGCCTGGAAAAATCACAACCTTCCCTTTGCTGAACAGTTACTTCCTAGAGAATGAAGACAATATGGCTCTTGTTTTTACTGTTTTAAGTGAAGTTATAAAAAATTACTAAGAAAACACTACTAAACTGGTCTGTTGAGTTCTCGATTTATATTTTATTTCTTAAACAAAAAGAAGCTGCTTTTCTAACAGGTGAAATTTGTGTTAGAAATTCTCAGCAAGACTTGTTTGCTTTTTTACTATTATGTAACAAAAGACAAAACCACTGCTTGCTGAAATAATCCTTTTATTATTGAACCGAAATTGTCAGACAACTTGTCTTTCTCTTTGATAGTCTAGTATTCACCAATCATTTATTCAAGATGTATATAAAAAAGTCAATTTACCTTAGAGGGTTAGTTTAGAAACAAATGTATCCAAATCCCAATAGTAATTATGCTTGAATAGCAACAATTATGCGTAAGTAAGCGTCTTTTAGTTTATGAAATATCTAAATTATTACTTCACCTAACAGTAAGGGTAGTATCACATAACTTTACAGAAAAAAAAAAGCCAGCTTCCTTGTGAATTGAAGATGATTTTCAATGCCATGTGATTTCTTTTATATAGTGACAGTTAAGAACTATAAATTAAATCTGACTGTTGACTCTGGTCCTGTGATTTCAGGGTAAAAGCTGGATGGTCTTAAATAGCTGTTGGAGCACAAGTTTTAAAAAAGATACCGCCCCCAGTGCAGATTTATTAAATACTGCAGCAGAAAAACATTGTTTATGCAGTGTTTTAACAGAAGGGAAGAAAGAAGAAGAAACTAAACAATATTCATTTCTTCTAGGATGCTTATCAGTATCAGCTAAGAATAGCGAATGGGAATAATAGTTCTGTTAATTGAGACAAACGGGGAATCATTAAAAGAAAGGTAAATTTTGGAAACTGCATATAAATTAAAACAAAAGAAAACAAAAAAAACCAAAAATGGATGATAACAGTAGTTATCAGTAGCATACAGTGACAACATGTTTGGAAAACTGAAGACTTTCATCTTCAAATAATATGGCGCAATGACACCAAGCCCAGTTTTTCTGAAGCAGGCTTTGCTATCTCCAGAATTTCCCCTGAACCAGGCACAGCTGCCGGATGACATCAAGAAAAGCTTACAGAAGCAGATGGGAACTGAGAAGCAGCAGCAGCAGTAGGTAGCTCCTCAGCTTTCTGTAGTGAAAAAATTGCTAGATAAACAGTCAAAAGCTGTGACAGAGGGATATTAAATAACAGCATCCCAACATAACATTTCAACTGCACCAACTAAGCTATTATGCTTTAACTAACTTTTAAGAAGTAGACAGTATTGCCAGTGGATCCAATTAACGGGTCCAGGAAGAGACAACTAACATGGACACAATCAAAATCAGTACTCACCCATTATTCTGAAATTTAAAAATACAAAAGGAACACTCAGGAAAATTTAGGCCAGACATCTCATGATCTACCTTCAAAAGGGGCACCACAGCTAAGCCCTCAATGACTTGATATACAAGAGGACAGCATCAATGTAGCATATGTAGCTTTTATTCTCATAATATAAAAAACACTGTTCAACACAGATGAAACCAGAAATCAAACAGCATCTGAATTTTACTTACTGTTGTTAAAGGTGTTGGTGTAGGTATTGGAAGCAACCCTGCACCAGGCATCAGGCTTGTCATAGTAGGAGCAGGCGCCAACAGAGAAAGGGCTTTTGCTTCATCTGGGATTTTACCTGAAGAAGCAAATGAAAGCATTATACAGAGCTGGAACACTACACAAATGTTACTCTTACTATTATTTTATAATTACCCTTGCATTTAAAAAGGTAATAAATAAGAATGAATCTATCTACCAGATCCTTACAAAGAAACAAATAAGAACTTAAGATTTTCCTTTTACCCTGCTCTACTAGGAAAAACAAAAGTGAGAAAAACTTCAAAGAATAGTAAACTCATTAATGGATCATTATTTTAAAAACTGAATATGTACACAATTATTTAACACTTTGAGCTATGGGTCACCTGTACTGGAAACTTAATGTTCATGAACCAAACGATATCAAGCATGGACGCTTTCCCAGGGCGGTGCTTTCACGGTGATCGAAAGTTGTTTTACACATGACAACCGTTCGTGTTGGCTGCATCACTAATAGCACACAGAACATCAGATACAGAAAAGAAGAACATTTTTTAAAGTTTAATCCCCAGAAATGGCAAATAACCAAATCAGTAAAAGAAAAAAAAAAGAAAAAACATGTATGAGCTAATTGAAATTTGTGCTTTTTTCTCTACTTTGACGCTACCTACTTTTGATGTAAAAATAAAAAATTAACAAAAGCTACTGTGATTCAATACACATTGAAAGTGAAGTTGAGGGTATGGGAAGGAAGAAAAATCTGGACTTGTACTGTCTTACATTCTAAGTCATCTCAGTTTATCTGAAACTTTCATGAATTAGCTGTAAATTTACTGACGTCGAAGAAAATCCTAACTGACCAACTAAGCAATCCATATTTTCCTAAACTACGTATTTTGTACCATTTCAACCACATTATATTCTCCCTATTGTGCTAACGGTTTATATAATAAGTAATCTGTTCTGAACACAGGTTTCATTCAAATTTACTTATAGTAAGACTGCTAAATTAACCCCATAAAATCTTCAAAAATTAGAAGTTGTATATAGATAGATAGATAGATTTAATAGTAATGTAATAGATAAAACAATTAAATGTGTCTATTAGATTTGAAACGCCAAGGGGGCTAAACTAAAACAAACCCTAAATACGCAAAAGAAAAACCTACAGCAGCAACTTCTGCTTATACCAGGTATCAATTATTATGTTTCCAAAACTCCTGGCATAATTGCATATATGCTAACTACTGAGCCCTTTGTTATTACCACAGGCATTTTAACAAAGTTTTTATTTAAACATTTTTTTAATAGTCAAAGTATCTACACCATTTTCTTTGAATAAAACTATCTACGTTTTATCTGTTAATCTCTAACTTCAATAAAAATACAAAATACTAGGTAAGTTTCAAAACACTATGTAGTTTTAACTGTATGAGTTTTAATAAAACCTACAGGAATTATATTACTTTAAAAAAAAATAAAGACAAAAAAAGTATTGCAAACCAGTACTACAGATCTGCAGCAGGGACTGGGCTACAACTGGATGTGACCAAAAAACAAAACATATCCAAATGAAAATTAATTTATATGCAGCATACATGAATAGAAAAGATAAAATAACAGTACCCATTTTTCTCTCATGCCTCCTATTTACATTATTTTATTTATGTTTAGTTTTGAGGCACCTTGCTCCTTAACATGAAACAAACCACTTGATTTTTCTATCTAAAGGAGAAAAATAGGAAAATAATTAGCAATAACGTCTTCCAGGGCTTTTTAAAAAACATGCATGAATCTGAGTCATCACAATGTTCAGCACTCATTATGAAGTCAGGCATGCAAGGAGAGGTGCACCTGATCTGCCTGACTGCTCACAAGAATCGGGTAGTTCACTGCATATCCTGCCTACTACGTAGCTAACTAAACAGGCTTTCAAATATACAGTTCTAGTAACTGTGCATGCAAATTAGGCATACAGTTATATACCAGTTCTTCTGAAAATCAAAGTACTGAAGTGCTTTCAGATGATTGATGAACTAGGCCATTAACTACCAGACGTCTTCATGAATAGCCAGCTTCTTGCAATTAACCACATCCTCATGCAGGTTTCCAAAGAATCTACACATGTGGATCAAGTAAATTCAGTGACAAAAAGGCTTCTAAAATGGTGTGTCTGCACTCTTTTAATCCTTGGCCAGCAACGTACATAAGCATATGCCTAATTTAAATATGCACTTACATACAGCCAATACAGTACACAATTAACCAGATATATTTTTCAGATGTTTAAGGCATTTAGCCCTTTGAAACAGGAATGGAGTTAGGCACATAATTAACAGTGAGTTAAATTCAGAGAATTAAATATGAGCCTAAACTTTAAGCACACAGGCCATCTTACTGAAATAATATGAATTACTAATTTGCTGAAACACTGCTTAAAGAATCAGGTGAGCACTTTCAGTTGAGCCACCTATAATAGAAGTCCAAAGAAAGAAGAGTACACATGTCTAAATAAGAAGCTAGCAGCATTATTTCTGGAATAACTAGGGTGCCTAACAATGCAGTGCTTTAATAGAAACTCCATTTGGTCAGTTCCACACTATAAAGAAAGATCTATCCAGCCTTCTTCTTTTTTTTTTTTTTTCTCCCTCCAAAACTACTGTCTTTTCCCAGGTTCTTCCTCCAGCTTTTAAGAGCAGCTCAAACTTTAGATCAATTTTATAGAAAATAAACTAGGGGCAAATCTACCTTCCTGAACAAATCAATATGTGAGGCCAACTAACTTAACTTAAAAACAGTCTTTATGTTTTGAAACTTTATCTCTATAAATTTATTAGTAAGAGATTATGAGCCCACAAAGATACAAAACATGTGGCTTGTGAAAAACCAAATTAGGAAACTTTCAAAACTGTTTAAGATAACTGATTCGGTTTTAAAACTCATGCTTTGAAATTCAAGCTAAATGGAAATGAGCTAAAAATATTTATTTTCTAATAATGAAAACAGATAAACGTGTCACATATATATCATATCTGTAGAAATATTTCTTGGATGCTTTTGACTGTTCAATAAATTATAGATTCTGTGACCATCTACTTCATTCCTCTGCTTTGCAACGGGATCTGGAAGTAAATGTAGATTGGCTCCACACTGCTTAGAGGTATCTCAGGCTTCGCTTTAGCAGACTGGTCTTATTCTAAATATATGTTACAATTACTACTTTATTGTATCACCCGAGGGCTTAAGGAGTCTTAGGCAACCTGGTTCATACCAGCAACCATTTTGCTAAGTGCTCCAGAGAAATGTTTGTGTTAAGCAGGTAGTAAACATAATTCTTTTTTTTTCCTTCCGAATGTGCAGAAAAAAATAATTTCCTGTTCTTCATACTTAAACTGTGTGCTTAATCCTCACTGTAGAACAGCCTCAGCAGTAGGTTTGTTTTAAAGACATCTTCTGCTCACATCTACTTTAAACATAATTTTAAACAGTTGTTATTTTCCTGCCATGTTAAGTCAGTGGCCAATGCACGCTTCAAAATAACTTCTGTGTGATACAGTTCATGACTGTTATTGGATTTACAGCAGCGATTAAAGAGATTAAAACTACTGGCAATTACCTCAACTGCCACAGATAAATCCAAGAGAGATCATGAAGCAAAGCTCTTCCCAGTTCACAGCTTGGTGCATTACCCAAGTGAAACCAATTGGTATTAATGCACTTAGCTGAGAAGAGCAATGCGTGAGGATGAGACACACCTCCTGGCCCACCGTTTCTGCTTCAAGGGGTCCATTTCAATGGAAGAAGTAAGAACATCACCCAGAGATGAAAACCTTCTCAATCACTCCAGCACCAGCTGCCAGGGCTTGTGCGATGACTGAGAAGACTTTTAAAAAAATAAAACGTCTTCTTCAGATAACAACCACTGAAGCATGTATAAGTGCAATACACACATACATACACACGCATACAGAACTGATTCAGCCTTCCCACAAACAACAGTTTTAAAAGACAATGTGCCTCACATAACACAATCTAATCAAAAACTCAGGCTGCGTTTGTACTTATGAGTGGTAAGCAGTTTTTCTGAGGATGACATTTCACTGCCACTGACCTCACTGGAGGAAGATTTCATCGGAAGCAAGTATTTCAAGACATTCAATAAAATTTCAATAAAATGAAATTTCAATTTCAGAAATAATTATTATAAACTCTCTGTATTAGACATAAATTGAAAGCCTTCTTTTAAACAGACCATGCAATCTAAATAAAACTACTCTGCTAAGAAGAGGGACAAACAGCAGAGAAAGATTATGAGATTATGACTGTATTCTGTATAGTTAATGTCTCCAGAAGGTAAAAGTTTTAACTGTCTTTTCCAAGAGGGAATCATAAAGCATAGCATATGAAAGAATGCATCTTAAAACTCATATATTTTTCACTATTCCAGTCTTCTGTCCCATTGTACTCATCTGCTGAATTCAGATGCTTAAATGTACTCCAAATAGAATTTATCCAAAATTTACAGCATAAAACTCGACTAGTCACCCTTTGCCGGATACCATCCACCATTCATAAGCAGCTTCAGGTCAAGTTTCAAAATGAAACACTATGAACCCTTTACAAAACACCATTTTTACAGAACTGAGGCACCAGTTCACAAGTACAAGGGAAAGAGATTTAACAAAACAAAAAGGGACAAAATAAAATAAAAACAAAATAAAACAAAATAATAATAAT